TACAAGAAAAATAAAAAAAAAATGATTAATGCAAGAAAAACTCACAAAAAACACATGTGTGTATATAGACGTAATTCATATGTGATTCACTTGTGATTTATATGTGAATCACATGTAATTCATATGAAAATTTACTTGTGAGTTACATTTGGTAATCGTATGTGATTACTTGTGATTTGCATATGAATCACATGTAATTCATATGTGAATTACATATGATTTATATGTAAATTACATATGAATAACCAATAACTCATATGTGATTTCACTTGTGATTTACATGTGAATTACATTTGATTTACATGTGAATCACATGTAATTCATATGTGAATCAATTGTGATTTACTTGTGAATTACATATGATTAATTTGTGATTTACATGTAAATCACATGTAATTCATATGTGATTCACTTGTGATATATTTCTAAAATGAAACAAATTAAAATAAACTATATGGTTAGAAAAAAAAATAAATTAATTAGATAATTTACATGTGAATTACATGTGATTCACATGGAAATCACAAATGATTCACATGTGTCACAAGTGATTCACATGTGAATCACAAGTGATTCACATGTAAGCACAAGTGATCCATGAAGCTGAATATAGAAACAATTAAAATAAACTATATGGTTAGAAAAAAAAATTAAGATGATTTACATGTGAATTACATGTGATTCACATGTAAATCACAAATGATTCACATGTGTCTCAAGTGATTCACAAGTGATGCACATGTAAATCACAATATCGGATAAATGGACATTTTATTGCCCATCTTTTGAACCCTGAAGCTAAATTCTGAATTTTAGCAACATTTGTAGATTCATGTTTGTTAGCAAAAAGGTAAAACAGATAAAAAAAATCATACCTTCATTTCATTAGTAGATTCATGGTTTAGTGGAGGTCTTTTCTTCATTCGACACAACACACCAGCTTCATCCAACTTTGTTCCATTCCATCTAAATCTTTTAATACAAATGATTTAATAAGAAGAGTTTTGAGTTTAACTTTATTCCATGCTATAAAAAGTGAAAAGAAAAAAAAACACATGTTGATTCATCTTCTTCAGTATTGGTATTTTCCTGATTATCAGTCAAGCTCTCATCTACATTAAAATAATTGACTTTGACCTCTTGTGAGGCTGCAAGAAGCTCTTTAATAAGTTTGTATCCTCTTCTTCTCACAAGGTTCGCAAGATCTTGCCTATATAGTAATGTAAGAACAAAATAATAATTCAAAAAAATTCTCAACAAGTAGAAGCCATTTCCATAAAGCATATAATTTTCTTTCTAATGAAATGTATGTTTTAATACAGTGTGAGGATAGACCCGAAATCAAATGATATACAGATTTCTTAAGCAATATGATAATTTCCATTGAATCTCCATGATTAACCCAGGTAAGAAGTGATTTTCCTCACAGAAAATTTTTATTATAACACAACCCTCATAACACACAACACAAGCTCTACTAATTTTTTTTTGACTGATTCCTACTAACCATTTGTTACTAAGGATGCAAGCAATTTCTAGTATCAGGAATGTTTTCCATGATAAGTAAAGCATACATATCAGCAGACATGTATTCAAGTGCAGAACAAGGAATTGGAAATAAAGAAGAGTAATATAATGCTATAGAAACTAAACCTACCATGGTGCGAAAGCTCCTTCAAAGAAGGAACTGTCCGTCAGGAAACCCAGCATCGGACATAAATTCTCGTAAATCGTTGCAGAGATCTGCATTGGTCCTCGCCGGTTTCCTACTGGCAACTCTAAAGCACAAAATTCGTTTAACGAACCTCGAATTAGGTAAAAAAATCAACACGAACAAATACATACAGAGACACATGCAATTGAAAATGAAGCAACAAATTGCAAACCTTGTTTCATTCGGTGACGAAGCACAATCTGTGACGAGGAGGCAGCGGCGGTGACGGATCTCGAATTGACAAAGGCGAGGTTCTGGAGTGGCGGTTAAGAGGAGTTTGTAAGAAAGGAGGAAGAAGTGAGAGTGAGTGAGGTGCAGGTGCGTCGCCATAAAGGAGACTCAGGCATGGATTAGATCAATTGATCCATGGAACGAAATCGATCAATTGAAACATGATATATACATAAAGCAAGGTAGAGAATTCAAAACTTTGAAACCTGATATATGCCCTAGCTGTCATTTTTGGATCTTAGGAACCGAACAAAAACTAGAAAATTCAATGATCAGAAGAAAATTACCTTCACCGTGTGATTAATGATGAATTGTTGATGGTCGACGGAGAGGGAAGGAGGCTGATGTGGAAGATCTTTGACTGGAAGAGTAGTAGACCGATGTAGGGAGGAAGGAGAAGAGATCGTCAATTTATAGGAGACGATGGCGATGGTGTAGGTCTTACAGGAGGTGTGGCGATGATGTGGTTTCTAGGGGAGATTGACGAACTCCATGGCAGACATGTAAGGGTTTACAGAGAAATCATCCACCAGAAGGTATCATCTTCAAAACTCGGAACAAGGCGTCTGGATTGACGTTCTCTAAACAGGGTCAATATCTATATCCCTAAAATACCCCCAATTCAATTTTGTTTCAGTACCCCCGTTCATTTACTTTCTCATTTATTTACAAAAATGCCACAAAGCATCTTGACCATCCTTTTTTTTGATCTAACGAATGACTTTTAGTTCTCAGGTTCTCGGGAAACTATGAGTTCTCAAATGATCATTCATATATATATATATATATATATATATATATATATATATATATATATATAGGCTTAGGTTATTCGGCTTAGGTTATTCTATTCAAAGTAATTATTGTGTTATTGTATGCATAAATATTGGCCAATCAATTTTACTTATTTTAAGAAAGTGATTAATATATATTATTGAATTAAATATAATTGAAAAAATATCATCTTAATTAATTATAAGGGTAATTTAGTCAAATAATATAGATATAATAAAGGAAACTTGCATTTTTAAGGGATCATAGATTGTATTAATTTTAAAAATCCGATTTTACTAATTATAATTCTTTTAATTAGGACATTCTGACAGAATATGTTTATGAGTATATTCAAAAATAAAAATATTCTTGAACATAAATAATAAAAATATTCTTGAACCTATTTCTTGATCATGAATTTAAAAACTTCTTGTAGAATAACAAATTCTTGAACAATCAATTGAAGAATAAAAACAAAAAATACATTGTTTCTTAGAGAATACGGGTAACAATTGTTAAGAATTACATTTATTGTTAAAGAATAAAACTAAAAAAACTTTCAAAACGGGAAAGAAAACATCAAAATCTAACAACGACTAATACATTCTAAAAGAATAATGTTGCTTAGAATTACTTTCACTTTTATGGTCCGTTCTTCAAGCATCAACTTCTGTGATTCCAACATAATTGGAATTTGTGATTCCATTCCAATAGAATTGGAATCTCACCAATATCATCCATTGAATCATCTACATAAACATAGTTTATACATTTTCAGAATTCAACCTTGTCAAGATCCTGCACTGTCCACATAAATGAAGTGTTAAATCAGGGAAAAAAAACATAAATTGAAATATGAATCAATTCATAAAATGCAGCCAAAAATCAAGTTAAAATCAAAACAAATCCTAAAATTGTACACTAAAAATCACGTCAAAATCAAATTGAATCTGAGGCGATCAGATTTTATAGATAATTCCAAGTTAAATGTGCAATGAAACATCAAACTTCCAACAATATTATTCGAATTACAACTAAAACCATCAAATTGTTGAACTATTGAAATGGTAGGGCGTTTAGAAACCCAAAATTGACCAACTTGTCATGCTGATTAATTTCTACCAAACAAATTAACTTGAAAAGAGTCAAACAACCTAGGTTTTAGAGTATTGAGACAAATTGTGCAACATTGCGATATGTGAATATAATCAATGCATTAAAACAAAAATTGGAACGATCATCATGCCCAAATCGATCAAAAGAAGCTACAATTACATTACCTACTCGGAGGTGTTTACTAACCTTCCTGAGAAATCGAATTTAGGGCATTCTAGAAGAGCATAAGTGGTCACCCTAAAGCAATCCACAGACTTCTCCAAGCACTATGGTGGCAGGGTTGCGTAAGTCTGGCCAAAGTGCTTATGCTACAGAGGAAGGAGCGATAACAAGCGTCCCTCATCTTGATTTATTAAATTAAAAACCTGAATTAATGCTTCTTGATTTATTAAATTAAAAACCTGAATTAAAATTTAATAAGAAATTAGTTTTAAGAAAAAAGATTTATTTACATTAAATTATAAACTATAAAGCTTACTTGTTCATTGAAAACAGCTCTGTGAACTTCACGAAGATCAGAATGCCTTTTCTTGACACCATCATCATCATCATCATCATCATCAGTTTCATCTTCTTTCTTTGTTTCTTCAGAAAACTCTGAATTTGATAGATTTGGTGTTCTTCCATTTGATCTTTTTGGAATATCATCACCAACAAATCCAAATTGAAAAACATGACATGCTTTTGAAGGAAGATTTAAAACAAGCATTCCAGCATTATCATGTTCAACACGAACAGTTGACATTGAAGAAGGGTGAAATATAGCTGTTGGATCATATAATGTATTGTCAAACAGATCAATGTAGAAACCTTCATTTCCAGCAGCAGAAGCAGCCTTTCTATGCCTCTTAACTTTCCAATTCTGCTGCAATCTATTATCATGTAGATTTTTAGGATTCTATCATAAAGAAAATCAAAGATAGGTGATAGCTGAAGCTGACCTTATTAGAGCTCCATAGAATCTTGCTTCTTTTGCAACTTGTTTCTCTAATGCTTTGGCTGATTGCTTAAAGTATTTCCCAAGTTGCTGAAATGAAAAAGAATCATCAAACAAGAAATACACAAAGAGAAAAGAAAGTTTTTAGTTTTTTGATTTTGTGTTTTAGAAATACCCGAAAGCATTGGAGTTTTGTTGTTGTAGATACTGCAAGGTCAGATAAAAGTTCATTAGGTAATTGTTTTGGTCTGGTCATACCAGCTACTGTGACAGCATCATTAATTTCAACCTACAGAGAAATTTTATAAAGTAAAATTCAAAAATTTTTATTTCAATTGAAAAGGTTAAGATAATAACTTAATGATGACTTACAGTGTTAATGAGATCAATGATAACAGAAAGTTCTTGGTGAGCCAATTTTAGATTTTCAACCATGTTCTGCCATGGCCATGGTGATGAAGATGTTGTATCTTTGGAAGAGCTAGCAATAGAGTCGCCTTTCTTTTGTTTCTTGTTTGGATCTTCTCTTTCTACAGCCCAAGCAAAGTCTATTCGCCGTATTTGCTACAGAGGAAGGAGCGATAACAAGCGTCCCTCATCTCTTCTCCTTGAAACTCCGATGTCTGCCCGTGAACCTAGCCAAACATTACGGACGCCGATTGTGAAGGTGGTCATCGGCTCACGAACCCTAGGTTTGGCCGAGCACGACTTAAGGAGTGGTACGTAGAGGTGGTGGTAATGGATTATAGAGGTGGCTGTCGTTGGCGGAAGTTGTGGCGGTGGCGAACAGGCGGTGAGGCAGGAGATTGAGAGGATCCAGAAGAGGGGAAAACACATCAATGATTGAAGGAGGGAAGCAAGGGGAAGATCGTCGGTTCGGTGGGAAGTGATTTTGTGGAAAAATTACATTGGACAAGAAAAGGTGGGGCGAGAAGAAGCACCCTGCAATCGATCGACATCCATTGGACCTTGCAGCCGCTTCGTGCTTTCCTTCTCACCTTCATCGATGTACAAATAGATCGGTGGTAATTAAAAGGGGATAAATTAGGTTAAAATCAACTAGCATAATTGTAGGAAAGTATTTGTGGAAGTTGTTTATAAAATTACCTACTTACCCTTATTTATTTATTTAATTATTTATTTATATTTTAAATTTTGATTGGCTCATATTTATGCATACAATAACACAATAATTACTTTAAACATTTGAACCTAGCTCTCTCTCTCTCTCTCTCTCTCTCTATATATATATATATATATATATAATATATATTATATATATATATATATATATATATATATATATATATATATATATATAAAACCTATTTACTATTGATTTTTATTCGATTCTATAATCATTAAAAGATACCGTGTTTTTAAAACTAATGTTTACATGCATCTATTATAACTTTTTTTACATTAAATAACAAACCTAATTATATAATATAAAAAACAACTTATAATAAACGTAATCTCTTTTAAAATCTTAGAGACTTTTGTTCATAACCTGTCATCGTTTTATTCGTTTATATCTTTTCATATTTTTGTCATTGACATAACTATAACGTTCATGTTTTTGTTTCTATTTTTTTTTCCTTAAAACGATACAAAATATCAATAAGAAAATTCTGACGTGACACTCATTCCATTATACGTGGATTAGAAATATGTTACTTCAAACAATGCTTTATTGACAATCATCTATTAATCGCAAAAACTAGTAAATTTGAATTTATCAAAAATACTCTTGTAAAGTACCGCCTAATCTTTTTATATATTGTAAAAACTAATTCCAATTCTAAATATGACCCCAAATTAGTTTGAATCGTGAAGATAACAAGGTCGCATATCAAATTTTTGTTGATATACAACAATCTATATTCTACATAACTTAAAAAGACTTTTTATTGAGTTGTCGCAAGAAAAGGGCTTGCATATCATATAATCTATATTCTACGTAACTTAAAGACATTTTATTGAGTTGTCGCAAGAAAAGGGCTTGCATATTATATGGAATGTCCGAATGGTCTGGATTTTAGAATACTTGTATGTGGATTGTCTTGGTTTTCAGATGTGGCTTTCAATTATGGGTGCATGTTCAGTTGGTTACATTGATCATGGGTCGACATTGGTGCCTTCAACCCACTAAACACGGTGAGGAAACTCACCTCACCCTGTTGAACCTCACAAATAAAACTCTAGTTGTTGGTCCGCTCAAATCCCCGTGTTATCAATAAAATATCATCCAATTAATAATTGGAGTCCAATTCATAACCATCATTCTAAATTAGGATAAAAAGACCATTTTACCCTTTTATCTAGCTTAGTCCAAGACCAAGGCCCAACTAACTATACTACAAGGCCCAAATTCCTTAATGATTACTCAAGCCCAAATATGGCATAATTTTCCAAATTGGGCCCAATCCCCATCATGAGCCTTCAACCAAAAGTCCAATAAATATCATTAGCCCAAAACAAAATCCTAAGGCCCATCATAGTCCAAAATCTATCGTCCAAAATCCAACAGCGGGTTCTCACATCGTAGCCAGGCCATGGTCACGCCGTGTGGGCCAACTCGACCCAGTCCCGACTCGGCGAGTCAACTCAATCCATCGAGAAGATGAACCTGATAATGGGGAATAGGAAATCGTCGCCTGTCACCAAGATCGGGATTTACTCTTTAGTGCTTAGTAGTGAGTTAGGATTAGACTTGAATGATTGTTGCTATTCGTCAGAAATGACGATGAATATTATTTCTTTTCATGGTTTGTACAAACAAGGTTTTAGATTTTCATTTAATAATGAAATTGATTCTGTTAATGCTTTCTATAATGGTACTTTATATTTTGAAGCATTGCCTTGTAATGGTGTATATGAAACAGTGATGGTTGTAGACAACTTAGGAAATAGTATGTTGAATATCGATTCTTCTAATGGTTTAGACAAGACATGCTTGTGGCATTGTCATCTTGGACATGTCAACAAGAAGCGCATAGCCCAACTCCAAAAGGATGGAGTCTTGCAGTCATTTGACCTAAAGTCAGATGACACGTGCGAATCTTGTTTTCTTGGAAAGATGACTAAATCACCTTTCACTGGTACTTGTGAAAGAGGTGAGGGATTGTTGGATCTCATACACACCGATGTGTGTGGGCCCTTCAGATCCACCACAAGGGATGCTAACCGCTTCTATGTTACGTTTACCGACGATTATAGCAGATATGGGTATATCTACTTAATCAAGCACAAGTCGGAAACCTTTGAAAAGTTCAAAGAGTTTAAACAAGAATTGGAGAATCAATTGGGCAGGAAGATAAAGATGCTCATATCCGATAGGGGTGGTGAGTATCTTAGTATCGAGTTCCACGACTATCTTAAGGAATGTGGAATTGTTTCACAACTGACACCGCCTAGGACACCGCAGCTCAATGGTGTGGCTGAGAGGCGCAATCGAACCTTGTTGGACATGGTTCGTTCCATGATGAGTCGAGCTTCGTTACCTATCTTATTCTGGGGGTATGCTTTAGCTTAATCTAGTCCCAACTAAGAAGGTTGCCAAAACATCTCACGAGATGTGGACAGGGAAGGTTCCCTCGTTGGAACATATCAAGGTTAGGGGTTGCGAGGCTTTCGTAAGACGAGAGACTCACGACAAACTTGAACCTCGCAGCGAGTGGTGTATTTTCATCGGCTACCCACAAAAATCTTTTGAACATATTTTCTACAGACCTAGTGACAACGTGGTCTTCGTAGCAAGGAGAGGGCTTTTCCGCAAAAGAGAACTCATATGCCAAGAGGACAGTGGGAGGCAAATTGATCTTGAAGAGCTTCAAGAGTCAAGAGATGAAGGAACCTCTAACACTAGCGCTCAACTTGAGGAAGAGATTCATGTTGAACAAGTTGAAGAGTCCTTACCTCTAAGACGTTCCGGTAGAGTTAGTATTCCACCTGTGTTGTATGGTTTCCATATAACTACTGAAGGTGAGACGTTTATCAGTGATAGTACACTGATAAATTTGGATGAACCTAAAAACTACAAGGAAGCCATGGCAGGCCCGGAGTCTGCAAAACGGAAAGAGGAAATGGACAGCGAGATTCAGTCCATGTATGACAATCAAGTTTGGAACTTGGTTGACAATGTGTCGGGTCGTAAGACAGTCGGGTGCAAGTGGATCTTCAAGAAGAAGACCGACATGGATGGGAAAGTGCATACGTTCAAGGCACGATTGGTTGCGAAGGGCTTTACTCAAACCCCAGGGGTTGACTATGATGAGACCTTCTCACCAGTGGCCAAGATCAAGTCTATTAGGGTTATGTTGGTTATCGTTGCGTTTCATGATTATGAAATTTGGCAGATGGATGTCAAAACCTCTTTTTTCTTAATGGGAAGCTGGCTGAAGATGTTTACATGTGTCAACCAGAAGGTTTTGTAGATGCTAAATACCCGAATAGAGTGTGCAAGCTTGAGAAATCCATTTATGGATTGAAACAAGCGTCTCGTTGATGGAATCTTTGTTTCGATGAGAAAGTCAAAGAGTTTGGATTTCCAAGAAGCGAGGATGAGTCATGTGTGTATGTCAAGGCTAGTGGGAGTATAGTTAGGTTTCTCATTTTGTATGTTGATGACATACTACTCATAGGAAATGACATCCTGACCTTGCAGGAGGTTAAGTCCTGGCTTGGGAAGTGTTTCGCTATGAAGGATCTAGGAGAAGTTGCTTATATTCTGGGGATAAGGATATTGATAAACTGAAGTAGGAGACTAATATGACTTAGTCAAAGTACTTACTTGGACAAGGTGCTGAAACGTTTTAGTATGGAGAATTCCAAGAAATGGGAACTGCCAATCCAAAGCAATACCAAGCTGAGTAAGACTCAGAGTCCAAGTACCGATACCGAGATAACGGAAATGAGTCGAGTGCCATATGCTTCCGTCGTTGCCTCGATCATGTACGCTATGACATGTACTCACCCTGACATGGCTTTTGCGTTGATCATGGTTAGTCGATATCAAAGGAACCCGGGTAGAGCTCATTGGACTGCAATTAAGAACATTCTTAAGTACCTGCGAAGTACTAAGGATTGGGTCCTTACACTTGGTAGGAGTGATGAATTGAGAGTGACAGGGTACAATGGCGCCAGATTTTAGACTAACAGAGATAACTTCCGCTCTCAGTCGGGCTGGGTATTTACCCTAAATGGAGGAGCGATTACTTGGAAAAGTTCCAAGCAGGAGACCATGGCTGATTCAACGTGCGAATCAGAGTACATAGCAGCGAGCGAAGCGTCGAAGGAGGCAATATGGTTGAAGAACTTCATTGGAAACCTTGGAGTTGTACCAACCATAAAGGAGCCTATGGAGATTACCTGTGATAATGAATGAGCGGTTGCCTTAACCAAGGAACCAAGGGATCATGGTAGATCCAGACACATCGACAGAAAATACCACTTCATCAGACATCGGGTAGAAGAAGGACTCATCGTAGTCAATAAGGTATCGTCAGAGGAGAACCCAACAGATCCCCTCACAAAGGGTCTGAGCAAGGTTAAACACTTACAGCATGCGAGGAGCATTAGTCTGAAGGACGATATTAGTTTTAGTGATTAGATAGATGTTTAGAAACTTGTAATAGATAAATGTAATTGACATTTGATGATTAAGTAATGGAGATTTATTTATGAGTAAAGTTTACTATCTTGTGTCAATTGTTTACTATTGTTTCACTTTCACATGTTTTACTTCCAGAATAATTCGGTTGTTCAAATTATCCACAGTCGATCATACTTTAGGAGTAAGTTATGAGGTTGGACTGTCATGAATTGGTTTGTAGATT